CAGCTGGAGCCCAGGAGCCCCAGGCCCAGGGAGGGAGTCCAGACGGAGGGCGGGCCGCAGGACTGGTCTGGGTAGAGCCCAGGGCCCTGACTCCTTCCTCCCCGCCCCAGACAGCCTCCGCCTCGCCTGCCCAAGGCCCTGGCACGTACCAGATTCCCTCTTGATGAGCCTTGCTGGTAGCCGGGGGGCCGCGGAGGCCCTCCGCTTGGCGCTCTGCTCGTTCCAGTACTCCCGCCAGTGCCGCAGCTGGGAGTGGATGAAGCGCCACATGAGCCAGGCCTGGGCAGCACACACCAGCAGCAGCACGCAGAGCCTGCAGAGGGGCAGAGCAGGGCTCAGGGGCTGGGCCCACAGCCCAGGGCAGGGACTCCCGAGGTCTGGAACCCTGCCGATCCCGTGGCCCATCGATTGCCTCAGCCTGTCAGGCCCCCACCATCCGGAGGGCACAGGGCTCCTGCTCATCTCCGCTCTGGGACACTCAGGGGTGGTGATGGATGCACAGGGCTAGGGAGGCGGGGAAGGAGGCAGCGACAGACACACAATCACACTGTCCCCACACCTGGTGGGACCCTGTCCCTTCTGTACCCACAGCACAGAACACAGCTCATTCAGCTCCATATAAACTGGAAGGATTCAAATGAATTAGGATACAGCAGAAATAATTCGAGAGTGGCTTCTTATCTAGCATGAAACTTAAAAGCTGTGCAGTCCTAGATCAAGCACACACCCTCCCAGGCCCAGAGTCTCCCGGAAACAGTGGCCTCCTGGCTGCCATGGGAGGCCATTGCCAACCTGCTGAGAACTCGGCTGTAAAGAGTCCGAGTAGCTGTCGCGATCCCCGTGTGGCTGGGTGAGAAACCTCCTGAGCTCCATGAAGGGGAGGGGACTCCCCTGTGGACTGAGGCCCTGACAGTCTTTGTGGGCCAGGAAGTGAGGATGGCCTAATGTCCAGAGATTTCCATAAACATCAACACGCAGGGGACTCAGGGGTTTGCTGCCTCCTGACCCTCCGAGAAGTCGTGCCAAGTTCAGGAGGCTCCTGGCCGCTCTCACGGAGCCCTGATTTATCGTCATGCCCTATGCCCAACTCACCTGCAAAGTAAGGTATTGAAGTTCCCTTTCTCGGGGTCAAAAGCTTGGTTTTCCATGCGAGCAAGTCCAAAGCCGATGGCCAGCACGGCGAGAGTGAGGATGAAGAGGCGGGTGACCCCGAATACAGCAGCCCAGGCGTTAAACCTGCGCACAGAGGTGGGGAAGGGACAGTAGCCTTTAGGGCCATGAGGGCCCTTCACCCCCTGCTCCAGAAGGGACCCAAGCGGAAGAAGGTGCAAGGGTGGCGGAGGGATGAGGTATCTAGAATAAGATGCTCCGGGACGATAAAGCAGCTCAGGGTGCTGCCTGCAGCTCAGGGGGCAGTTGACACCCAGGGCAGGACCCTCCCGTGCCCCCTGACCCTCTGAGCAGGTTGGCCTCCCAGCCTCACCACTTACAGCTTCTCGTTGTTCTCATCGGCAAAGTAGAAGAGCCGGGCCATGTGGAAGAGGACCTCGGTGGAGTACTGCAGCAGCAGCAAGATCAGGCCCAGGCGGCTCAGGCTGGGGAGGGAGAGATGAGCCTTATAGTCCCCCCAAGATCCAGGGAGAGTGGAGGTGCGGCCGGCCCCGGCTCTGCTCCTCACTCCACCTCCCCTGGCTGGCCCACCTCATCCTGCAGGACTCAGCTCCGCTGTCACACCTGAAGAATTTTCCTAACACTGAACGCCTGGCCTTTCGCCTGTGCTGGGTGGGGCAGGCACCCCTACCTGCTCCCACAGTGACCCGGCTGAGGCTCTTCACAGGACTCGTCACCTTGGGCTCATCACCTGGCCAGGGACTACACACACACAAGGTGCTCAGAACAAGATGCTGAGCTTTGCAAGGAGAACCAGGGGTTCCTACTGTCTAATGTCTCATTATCTGTGTCTCCACAGATAACAGGTTCACAAAGAAGCAAAACTCAACCTAATGCAGAAACCTATGCTAGTGAACTGAACTCTTAAAACGCAGCACCACCGCCCAGCTGGTGTGGCTCAGTGGGTGAGCGCCGACCTGTGAACCAGGTCACAGTTCCATTCCCGGTCAGGGCGCATGCCCAGGTTGCAGCCTCGATCCCCAGTGTGGGGCATGCAGGAAGCAGCCAATCATGATTCTCTTTCACCATTGATGTTTCTCTCTCTCTCCCTCTCCCTTCCTCTCTCTCTAAAAATCAATAAAAACATATTTTAAAAAAACCAAAAAAACCAACAGCACCACTGAGACACCCCTCTGCTAGATTCCAGGCATGACGTTGCTACCGACTTCCTTGGGCAGTTTGCTGCAGATGGTCAGCTGTCGTTCAAATGCAAGTGAAAGCTCAGCTCCTGCTGAACAGCAGGAAGCCATGAGATAATGTGGGAGCCCTCCCACAGGCGGCCATAAATAAGGATCCGGCCGATTCCACCCAACGAGACCAAAGTACAAAATCATCACGAAGGCCACTGGATCCTGAGGATGGTCAAGAGAATGACGTGAAAACGCCCCAGTGTCTTCATGTGGCTGGAAAGTCCAACACAATCCTGCCCGTGACCTCGGCTCAAACCTCACTTTCTGCACTGCAGCCACACTGGGCTTCACGCTCCCTCCCGCTGAGGGCTGTGCACCTGCTGTCCCCTCCGCCTGCACAGCTCTCCCCAGACCTCCACGTACCTGGCTCTGTCACGCCTGCCTCAACCTGAGCCCCCTGCTCGGAGGCTCTCCCTCCCCACACCCACGGTGCCCGGAGCACACGGGGCCGTTACATGGCGCTGCTTTATTTCCTCTAGCGCACGCACCACCATGGGAAGCCCTGTGGTTATTTCCTTGTTGATGGTCTGCCTCCTGCTAGAACGGACGCCCCAGGGGAGCAGGGGCTGTCTCCTTCATCCGATGCAACTCAGCTCCTGAGGCAGCACCGCCCACAGGAGGTCCGTGCTGAGTGAGTGAAGGCCTGCAAAAGCCAAGCTCTTTACCAAAACGAGACCCCACACCATCCAGCATCTCAAAGGTCTGTCTCCCTTGGGAAACCCTGCAGCTGAGGGCCACTCCTTTCCCTGGATTCACTTCAGAAAACTAGAACAAGGGCGGAGGGGGAAGGAGCTCACGCTCTCGAAATGAGCAGAGAGGTGGCTGCACCTTGAACTGGTGCCGGCTTCCCTGGGAACGGGGTGGGGGCGATTTTGAGGGATCTGCTGCTCCCTGTCCTCTCCGTCCGATTCTCATTCCAAAACAAGCATTCACAGGACAGGGTCAGACACCTGCCCTTGTCCTTCCCTGGGACACGTCAGATGCGGGGGAAAAACGGATCTTGGTGCACCTCCCATCTCTGGGAGGAAGAAGGGACCCGCTAGCAGTAGGAAGCGCTCCTAGGGGGTCCTGCCTGTCCCTGCTCACCCCGCCCTCCTCACACACTGCCGGGGTGACGGCACAGACTGGCTTCCTCAGACCCACTCTGCCCGTGACATGGGAGCATCCCACACAAGAGCAGAGCCGGGCCTGCAACACGGCCTCGCCCCTACAGACCCATCCAGGAATCCTCACTGCCCGAGGCCCCGAGACAGGACAGAGCTGACAGCCGCCTTCCTCTGACTGCTCCCTCGAGTCCACCCTTCTCAGAGGACGCACGGAGGGCCCAGCAGATGCTGGGCCCCAGGACCCCCAGGTCGCTTAGCAGGAAGTTCGCAGAATGCCGGCCTAGCAAAGCCCAGGCTGCTCCCTGGCCTGTGTGGACTACGTTCAAGAAAAACCCAAGTTAGCAATGGCATATCCAGTCCCTCAATACGAATCTTCTCATGAGAGACTCCAGACCAAACACTGCAGCAACTCTCTCGGCCTCTGAACAACCAGCAGCGGCCACTCTACATTCTGACAAATCAAAGGGAAGGGGTTTCTGCGCTGTGAGCTCTGGCAGCTTCTGCCACTGGACACACGAGGCAGGGCCCCGCCTCAGCTGCCTCCCACCTGCAGAGCCACTGATCAGGTTCCCATATCCCTGGGAAGCCCTGCCTGGCTGTCCTGGTTGGGGTGGGGCGGCCACTCTCTGGGTTCTGGTGGCAGATGACACATGTCACAGTGCCTCTCATCCGAGACCGAGGATGCCCCACTGAAGACAAAGGAGCCTCCTGCCATCTATCTTTGTATTTCCAGGCCTTAGCCCAGGGCTCAGCACACAGAAGGCGTCTAATAAATGCCTGCTCATTGAATCAGTGTGTGGAGAGACATGCGAACATGAGGGCATGCGGGGCAAGGAGATGTGGCGGCCGGGTCTCACTCACTTGAGGAGGTACGCGCCGGCTATGTGGAGCAGGTACAGGCAGATATACTGGAGCTGGCGGGGAATTTCCTCCTGCAAACAAGACAGGCGGACAGTGAGTGTGCTGGCCCTCCAACCGCAGAGGCAGGAATACAGAGGGGAGGGGAGAGGGCGGGCCCCAGGGCTGGGCTGCTTTAACACCGGCAGCTGCAAAGTCTGAGGGCCAGGCAGAGCTTCAGGTTCACTGTCAGAGGGCAGGGCTGGGTTGAGAGAGAAGGGACAGGGACTAAGGAACAGGGGTTTTGGAAATGATTCAGAGGGATGCTATGTAAAAAGAAAGAAAAAAAAAAGACTGTGGGAAAGGCATAAACCTCTCCAGCCGCCATCCAGAGATGACAGTTAGATCCCCCCCTACCCCCCCCGCCAGCCACACATGTAAGCGTGGGAGGCAGGCATGAGACGTGCTGGGGGCCTCCTCTCAGGGAGGTCTGTCTTCCTGGGAACTTCAACAAGTGCTGACTCAGCATTTTACTCAACCCACCAACACTCCCATCCCCACCCAGCTCCGGCTTCTACAGGAAGGGACTGGGGTGGCTGGGTACAGCAGTGGGGAGGGGAGGCCACATGGCTTCAAGGGGGGAGTGAGGACTCACCTTCCGTACCTTCTGGAAGTACAGCTCAGGAAGTGCGTGCAGCCAGTAGGCCAGCTGGCACAGGTAGAAAAACTTCACCTGGAAGCTGGAGACAAGGGAGCGAGTCACAGGGAGGGATGGAGGAAAACGTCCCTGTGGCGCCCACCAAGCACAGGAGGGAAGGGCAAGGGCCAGGAGCGAGGGAGGGAAGGACATTTCTGTGGTCCACCCCCCCCTCCACCCCCAGCCCATAGTGTTCTGTCCAGCAGCCGAGCTGAGACTCCTCTGTGATGGGCCAGTGCAGGCGACACTTCACTGTGGGAGTCTCCAGGCCAGCAGACTGGGAGGAAGATGCACCCAGACCGGTGGCCCTCCACCAGACTGCGCCCTAACAGGCTGGGGTGACGGGTCCTCCTTCCAGCTGGCTCCGAGCTGTTCTGGACACATTCTGGGAGGACGGAGCCAGAGGACCGGCTGGTTCCTCCCCGGAGACCAAGTCATGAGAATACTCACGGGAGGTACACGTGTGGGTAGTCTTCCCAGAGGCTCCTCGGGTTTGTTAAATATCCTTCCTGTGGTAGGCGAGAAGAGACGGAATTTAGAGGTAAAGGTATGACCCTCTGGGGCCCTGGGCAGACCCAGGGGTCAGGGACGCATCGAACACCCAGCTGCCAGAGAGAGGAAAGAACAGGAACCGTGAAATGAAGGGCCTTCCTGTGGGGTCCCGCTGGCACAGAGCAGGAGGAGCTCCGTGGGGCAGAGGCCTGCCCTGCAGGCGGCCTGACTCTCACTAGCTGCATTGGCCTCTGGGCAGGTCGGACCCTGAGCTTTAGCTGCCTCACCTGTAAAATGAGGATAAAAATACTGACCCTCCCGGAGTTACTGTTAGAAATCAATGGCCGGCGTACGATCACGTGGCAGTGCCTACTGCTGTGCCTGGCATGTGGCGCTCAGGAAATGCTCGTGGAATGAACAGCGGCGCGGTGAGGCTGGGGGCCAAGGTGTTCGTGTCCAGGTGGGAACAGAAGATGGCGTCTGGGAGGAGCCTGAGACCCGACACTAGGGTGTAAATTAGGACCGGAAAGGACTGTAGCCTCAGAGAGAGAGGAGACCAGAGACTGACACCAACACAGAGGAGGAGACCACGTCTGCCCACCTCGGGGGGAGGCTGAAAACAGAAATATTACCCCTTGACAATGCATAACTTGAGGTTTGCTTCCATAGGGGTTTGGCGTTCAAATCTATGCCACCTGTGTGGTCCGGAAACCCCCTGGCTAAGGAAGCAGCAACAATATTGTGGGCCAGAGATACCGTCGGGACATCCTCTCATCCTCGGACGTGCAGGACTCTCACACATAAACCCTGGCTAATGCGCTTATACTCCCAGGTTACAAAGCACAGGAGGAATCAATCCACCACGAGCAGGTTGGCTCGCCCTGCACGCGGAGGGCAGAGGGGCTGTTAGCATGACTTCCTCCCAGAAGCAGGGAAATGGAGGGCCAGGCAGGAAGGATCTCCTGAAACAAGATGCTTGCTCAGCAGCAGAAGGAAAACCTGAGCTGGGCCACCAACCTCCTGGTCGGAAAGCCTCAGGCCCAGCTGCTTCAGGAAGTCGGAGCATAAATGGAGCTGGAGGCTTTGAGGAGGAGGCTGAGAGCCTCAGGTGCTCCCCCTGGGGCGGAGGGCAGGGGTCAGCAGTGCTCTGGAGGAGGAGGAGGCAGCGTGCTGCAGCGAGAAGCACTCGAGGTTACTGTCTATGGCAGGAGTGGGGAACGTCCGGCCTGCGGGCCATATAAGGACCAAGAAATCATGTGGTCGGGCCCTGCCAAGGCAACCGCAGGCCTTGTGTGTGCCGCACAACAACTCGAAATTGAATACATCTGGGAGCTTTTTTCATAGCAACAAGAATTTATATTAAGTGAATTACATTAAGTGAATGATGTTATAAATATCCAAATGGCCCTTGACAGAAAAAAGGTTCCCCACCCCTGGTCTACTGGATACTTAGTTTATGCCCAAGTGAGGGCCGATCCACCCACCTCTGTGGCGCTAAATGCCCGGGAGTATTCCTCAGCCCCAGCCCCACAACCTGGGGCCTCAACAGCACAGGGACCTAACTGGCAAGTCCGATCAGGTGCACGCACCAGTGTAGCCATGGCAACGCAGATGTGAAGGAAAGGGTCTCACCCCAAACCCTCAGGGTTTCATTCTTAGCCTCTTCTCATGACCACGTCCTTTCCTCCTCAGTCACACAGACTGGGGCACGGAGGTGGGAGGTCCCGGGCATTTGGGGGTGGCAGGAACGCCTTCCGACACCCACACGGCTGCTATCCCCCTGCCGCTCACTCGCCTGCCTTCACCAGAACGTCGGGCCCACTCTCTCTACCTCATTCCACGGAAATCACGGAGGCGAGAAGGTTCCTCTCTAGAGGAAGCAGCCAAGGATTTAAGGAGGGAAATGAGGTGGGAGAGGAGTGTCTGCCCCAAAAAGACTGGCCAAGAGAGACAGCACTGGGAGAAATGAAAGCCCCGCTGGTCATGTGATTTTAGACAGGAACCCTCCTCGGCTTCGCCCCTTCACTTAGGAGACAAGGAGGTCAGCACTTTGAGGCCAACAAGCAAAGAAAAATGCTGCCTTGCTTGCAAACGGCCAGTCCCTGGGGCCTGTAGGAGGGGCCGGGGCAGGAGAGCAGAAGGAGCCCGGGACCAATGACTCACCACCTTGGGAACAGCCTTTTCCAGACCTCCGGCCAGGCAGCTGCCTGCAGGGGTGGAGGGGGGGCTGGGCTGGGGCACCCTCAGAGTTCAGGCATCCAAGTACGGAGAGCCCTGGGGCCGAGTGTGGCAGAGGAAGCACCTGCCACCCACCCCGAGCCCCGCCCTCCACAGACGAGGCAGAGGGTCTGGGGAGCTTCTGCAATCCTTCGTCCTCTTTCCTTGGGCCTGTGAGCTGAGGGAGCCTGAGCAAGCGGGGACAACTGCTCCCTTTCCCGCAGCCTCCTTTTCGGTGTGTGAACAAAAAGAACCACAGAAACAGCGGGATCCAGTGTAACACAGTCAGCTCCCTAGACGCAGAAATGCCTTGTAACATCTGTCCTCGGGAACAACCGCACACAAAAGCGCCACTCTCAGCGAATGCCAGCTCTGACCCAAGCCCAGCACTAAAGGTCTTCCCTCTCCCAGGTTCTCACTGAGCGCTGGACTTGAGGTTTACAAGGTGAAGTGAGGCATCCCGGAAGGCAGGCAGGGAGGCCAAATGCCCCGCCCCACCGCTTTCCTCGGGAGAGTGTGTGTGTGTGTGTGTGTGTGTGTGTGTGTGTGTTTTGCCCTGACCAATGAAGAGGAGTTCAAAGGTAAGTTAAAAGTAGGAGGTGAGATTCTTATAAGGTACAGTGGGGCCTTGACTTACGAGTTTAATTTGTTCCGAGACCGAGCTCATTAAGGAGCTCGTTAACTCAAATTACTCTGTCAACTCAATGCAAAAAATCGGCTGAGAGACAGCTAGTATATCAAAAAACTCGTTAGTCAGGACACTCGTAAGTCAAGGCCCCACTGTAGTTGGTTGGTCCAACCACGCTCCCATCACTCTGCCTGTATAAATGCAGAAAGAAACGGCTAAGTCAAACACCAAAATAAAACTGGTTCTTTCTGGAGGGAGGGATTTGGGGGTAAATTTTTGCTTTTATTTTTCATACTTTTATGTATTGTGTACTTTAAGAAAAAGAATCGTCTATGATGTTTATAAAAAGACCGAGCTCGTTAAGGAGCTCGTTAACTCAAATTACTCTATCAACTCAATGCAAAAAAATCGGCCAAGAGACAGCTGGTATCTCAAAAAACTCGTTAGTCGGGACACTCGTAAGTCAAGGCCCCACTGTAGTTGTTTGGTCCAGCCACGCTCCCATCACTCTGCCTGTACAAATGCAGAAAGAAACGCCAAAATAAAACTGGTTCTTTCTGGAGGGAGGGATTTGGGGGTAAATTTTTGCTTTTATTTTTCATACTTTTATGTATTGTGTACTTTAAGAAAAAGAATCGTCTATGATGTTTATAAAAATAATCCATTTAAAAACTGTTGGGGCAAAAATAAAAACCACTGAAGTTTGGAGCAAAAAGATGCATTTTGTACTTCATTCATTCTCATAACCAAGAGTTAGGGAGCAGCTCAAGGTCTAGGGGGAGAGACAGACAGCAGAGAATACACACATGAACAAGAAAAACACCCCGGCAACGGGCACAGTGCAGAAAATGCAAATGGGGGGTCTCTGAGGAGGTGCCATTAGGTGGAGACTTGAGAGCAGAAAGGAGCCAGCAGGGAGTGGCAGGGGATAGAGGAGCCAGGGAAGAGCATTGGGGCCTCTCACCAGTGAGATGAGAAGGGAAGGCCGGCAGGGCCCAGAGCACAGGAGTTGGGAAGAAAACGGTATCACTGCAAGTAGGACGGGACTTTTAAGCAGAAAAATGCATGATGTGCTTTGCATTCTGAAAACATCTGTCTGGCCCAGCAGAAAGGGGTGGGAGAGTACAGGCGTGGAAACAGCCTCCTTCTAGAAGGAGGACATGCAGTGATCCAGGCAAGAGGTGATGGTGGCTTGGACTACAGGTGCGTTCCCCAACCTTGGCATTGACATCTGGGACTGGGTCATTCGTCCTTGTGGGGCCTGTGCTGTGCGCGGTAGGATATTCAGCAGCATCCCTGGCCTGTACCCACGAGATGCCACGAGCACGTTGCCAACCGTGCCCTGGGGCAGAGTCTCCGCTGAAGAGAACGCTGGACAGGGAGGGTGTATGTGCGCGTGCGTGCGCGCAGGTGGAGGGCAGCTGACAGAACCTCAGTGTGCTCTGGGGGTGGGGTGGGGTGGGGACCTGCTGATGAACTCACTGTGGAGGGTGAAAGAAAGAGAAGAATCCAGAAAGAGTGTGTCAGTCATAACATAAAAATGTGATTTTTAAATGAAACTAGCTGTGTTCACTCCTTTTACAAAACTGCCCTCTCTTCTTCCTCAGCCATTCTCATTCCAGCGGGAACTGTCCTGTGAGAAAGGCAAGGTAGATAGGGCCAGGAGCTACGCGGTGTTAGGAGGTGGAGTCACTGGAGTCCAGGGTCCCCCAGGTCTCCATTTCCTGTCGAACATGTTGAGTGGGGAACCGGCTGTCACCGTAATAAAAGTCTGTTATGAGCTTTCCCCCTCAAAAGTGCTGTATTCTCCCAGACTAATTAGCATCATCATTTTCAAGCCCTTGAAGGCAGAGAGAAGCAGAGACAGAGCAGTCGCATTTCACACCCTAGAAGGGTGCTAAGTGACTTGGCTGTGGGCCTCCAATCTGGCCTCAATGTGTCACAGCTGTGCTGTGCGGAGTCGGGGGAGGCAGAAAGGGTAAGAGTGATTCACTTGGAGATGAGGCAATGCTGCTGCTGAAAGACCAGTTACACGTGGTCCCCGAGCTGTTCTGCCTCCAAGCAGCTCAGGGTCTCCCGAGGCAGGCATGAGCCAAACGCCAGGGGCGGGGAGGTCTGCAATCAGAAGCACCTAGACTTCCGGGGCCAGGATGTGTGCCGCACAACAACAGGGGGCGCTGCTCACATGGCTGCCTGGAAGTCCGCCCCTGGACAGAGCACAGGACAGCCCTGCTCAGGAGGACAGGAGTCTCAGGTCCGCATTTCACATTCCCTGTGTTCTGTTCAGGAGAACTGTTCTGTGATGGAATGACAATGGAAATGAAAGCAATGCACAGAAGACATGTCTACTTCATAGAGAAGATGACATGAGCGTTCCTCTCCGGAGCAGAGAGCTCCTCTGGGTGTGAGTGCTCATCACTGTCAGTGCAGGAAGAAGAGGAAGCAGGACGCAGCAAAGGAAATGTCTAAATGCCACGGGGCTGCTGGGTTTCTCACGGGACAATTTCAGCCCCTGAGAAATGGGCCAGGTTGCAGGCAGGTGGTGCTCCAGGCTAGGAAGTGTGTGTGTGTGTGTGTGGAGGGGGAGATGCTAATTAAACACCTCCTAGCAGGACAGCCTGGGTCTCATTACAGTGAACCCCAAAGGACTGTCCACATTCTTCTGTTGGAAGGAATGTGCTGTATCAAAGGTTGCTTGAAATAAGAGTCCTCTGGTTAGAAGGGGAGGTGGGTAACTGGTCCGCCAGGCACCTGTGGGAATGGCACTGACCCTCACAGGATGTGATGTGTGGACAGGGGGCTGCCGGACTTGCTTGCAGTTGGCCAATGCAGTAAAACGGAAAGCATGTTCGACTTAGAACCAGACCCAGAGTCCCAGCCCCATCCTGGATACTCCAGAAGCACGTGACCGTGGGCACACTTTGGAACCTGAGCTTGGGTTTCTGCAATCCTTACCATGGGCGGGCGCCCGAATGAACGTAAGTTTGTCTTGTGGGACAGTTTTGCAGGGCGCCCTGTAACATGACACAGGGCCATCCAGATATACAGTACCATTACTGTAACCTCACAGCAACTACAACAAGTGTTCACTTTGGACAAGATGACTCTCCAGCTGTAAAAATGGCATTTGTATCACTTTGCCCCTCTCTCACAGGACCGTGAGGATGGAAAAATGGCTTCAGTTCTAGGAATGGCCCCACGTTTTCCATGCAGCTCCTTACTCTTTTCCTTCCCCGAGGAGAAAAGCCGCGAGGACCACTCACCGTCACCACCACGTACAAGCACCAGATCACCGAGCTGAGATGAAAGACCACCAGCTGTCCAGATTCGTTGAACTTGCTGTGTTTGACCTTGGAGAGATGAAGCCTTTTGCTGATTTTCTAAAGAATAGAGAGAATTCCACATATTAATATACAAGTGTATTGGTAGTGAGGGGTTTCAAACTCCTGCTCCTTCCCACGAAAAAAAGGTTAAAGTTGGAAGCCAGCCATAATCCAAGTCGTTCAGTGTAGGCCTACTGTGTGCACAGAGTGCTATGTGAAGCGAGCATTTAGAGGAAGCAGCGAGATTAGTGTCCGCAGCCCAGATGTAAAGAAAACAACCCAACCAGACTGTATAGGACAGGCCACAGGGACGCTGTCCTGTCTTACTTCAGGCAGTTCTCTCCGCTTGTGACAATAAACATTGCTGTTTCGTGTGCTGGCTAAAGAAGCCTGTGAGAGGGACTGAGTGTGTGAGAGACGGCCAGTCAACAGGACCAACCGGGGCATGAAATTGAGGGTGAAGAGGTTCAGAGCTCCTCCCGGGTGACTCCTGCGACCCACGCATCTCCCCAGTTTCTGGTTTCGGAATCTAGACGCATCACTTACGTCTAAAATGTACTCCTGAACCACAGCGTGCAAGATGATGGTGATGAAGATGTAGAACAAGATGGTGACCAGGTCCTTGGGCCCGTAGTGGTAGTGCACGGTCTCGCTGTCTGCGGAGGTAAGAAGAGCCCCGTCAGCATCCCTGGGTGAGGAAGCAAGCGCTCTGGGACCCAAAACTGGAAGGAGATCTGGATGTGCCATCAGTGCTTTCCTTCTGAAGACAGAGCTTCTTCCCCAGAATCCTGCCTCTGGACTTGACCCCTGGAAAGTGCCCAAGGGGAGGGCTCAGGGGAACAAACACACGTCAACGTGTGATGGCTCCACCTCCTGAGTCTGGGCAGGAGACCGCAGTGTTCACAAGCCAGGGGTCGGAGATAGCCCGTCTCGATCACTCCCTGGCTGTGTGTCTGTGGAGAAGTGGCCACCCTCTCTGAGCTGCAGTGTCTTCCCCTGTGAACAGGACTGTAGTTATACTTCATCAAGGAGGCACAGCACAGGGGTTCAGAGTGTGGACTCAGAAGCCCGAGTTGGTATCACAGCTGCCATTTACTTCCTATGTGACTCTGGGGCACCTCTAACGTGTGGCCTTTCTGTGCCTCAGTTTCCTCATCTGTGAAATGAACGTAACAGCAGTTTCTGTATCGTAAGGTTATTGTGAGAATGAGATGACTTAGTCAATGCAAAATGCTTAGAATAGTACCTGCTACATATGTATTTGCTACTATTTGGGTTGTCGATGTTGGGAGAAGCACACTATTGTGAGAATAAAATGAGATAATTTGTAGGCAAGATGGTTATCACAATGCCTGTGAGCATGCAATAAATGGTTTATGAAAATATTTAATAGTAATCAACGAGAATCCCAGATATATTGAGTCTTCTGAAGCTCAGCTAGTACAGTCTCTTTCTCCGTGGACAGAGGACTTACACCCATGTCTGAGGAACGGGCGCAGGACTGCCAGAGTTTGTGAACTTGAGCCTGGATGGCTGCTGCTCGGTAACTGCCCTCCCACCAGCAGACACACTGGCCGCCCTTCCAGCTGTGCTGCATTCTCGCTGAGTCACACGCATGAGTCATCGCTCTGCTGGGATGCAGTCACCAGCAGGAAGGTGAGTTTCGGGGTGGCCTCAGACAAAGCAGAGCCCGTTAGGTCACGGAGAGTCGACCCAGCCTCCGACACCCTGGGCTGGGGGACTGTGACAGCGGGCGGGGGTGGGGCGATGGCAAGGACAGGGAGCACATGAACTCTGAAACCAGGCACACTTTCCTTTTTCCTCTCCCTGCTCCTTTCCACAGAGACCTACTCTGTGAGAGGCACTGGGCTAGCTGTTAAAATAGGGATAGAAGACTCTGTCCGGGCCTCGGGATGCACAGACCCGCAAGGAGACTGAAATAAATGTCCCCCTCCCTACGGACCGGCACTCGGTACCAAGAGGTAAACACAGAAACACAGGGAGAGGAGAAGCAAGATGGCGATGATATAGGCAGTCGCGTCCCAGGTCTTGTCCCGGAGCAAACGGAGTAAGCAGCTGAAACTAATAACACCCACCCCGAATTGGCGAAATTACTTAGCTGGTGAGACGGTTTGCAGCCGGGAAGGGCAGAGCTCCCCTGGAAAGGTAAAAAACCAGGGATCTGGGCAGGAAA